ATGAAAACATGAAGACTTTTTCTCACCCTGAAACCTATATATTAAATTGAAGCTTTTGAATTAGACCAGGCTGTTGTAGCAGACCCACGAGTTATTAGCTTTATATTTTTCTTGAATATTACCTTGAATTTTACCTTGAAAATGATACACATGGTACCAAAAATTAAGGGGAAGGCCTTCTTAGTAATGTTAAATATTCTGTGAGTTGGGTCCTATCCAGCAGATACAGCCTGCAGAACACTTGTTTATTGAGCAGAATGATCTCATTATTAGGACAGTGATGTAGTGTGGTTTATTTCATACCCTGAAATCACTCAAGGAAATAACTGGGTGGATTATATTTATCCTGGACTCTATATTGTGCTATTATGTGTAGCAATAACTGGCAGCATATTAAAATAGAGATCAGGGATTACAACCATTCTTTTGAAAGCAGTTCTGAAATTTCAAAGCTGTTAAATTATTCAAGTATTTTTCAATTTATAAAAGATGATTGACTGTTTGATGATGAGATGACATAAATAAAAACATTGAAAATTATTGAATGTATTTTTTCCCCCACAGTTGTTTTGAACCACCGTAATTGAAGGTGTTGATTTTGTGTCAGTAGCAACCATAATTAAGAGAAGAAACATTAGATAATTTATTTGGTCAATGCCCTACTTTTGCACAAAGGAAAAAATAAAATCCAATCAAGGTAGAAATAGACATAGTTACAGTATAAAACTGAATAGAAATATTCAATCCAATTAAACATTAAAATATCTAAATGAATATTAAACCTTTGTTTTTTCTGTCCCTATTTACAAAGCCTAGTACCACATGTTTAACATGTAAATATGTAGCATTTTTAGGGTAGCAATGTCAATATAAAAATCGAAATAATTCTCTGAATATATGTTTGCATCTTTTAAAATGTATCTTTATGTTCTTCAAGGAATTTGGAAATTAGGCTTTTAATTAGTTTTTATACATCCCAGTTTTTCTAGAGTGAAAAATGCACATGTGCTCTACACATCACATGCAGAGTGTTGGTAGAAGCTGGTTATGGTGCATGCATGCTATCATCATCTAAGTGTTCACAGTAATATTTTTAAGAATGTGACAGTCTGTTTTTCTTTTCATTATGTGGTTTTAAGCCTCTGTTTACGTTCCTCAGTTACTGTGGAATAGGGTGTTTTATGCAGAGATCGACAGTTATCTCCTGAAATATCAGCTATGAGAAAATAGCACAGAATGATATCTGTGTCTTATGATGGGAATGATGAACTTCTTTTATATCTGACAAAATTGAATTAGCACCTTCGCATAGATTAGCACATTGGCTGAGCAGTAGTGTGAGGATTTTCCTGGAAGATTTTTAAGGTATTAAGCCTTCCAGCTGTAATAAGTTTAATACAGTTCTAAGCGACTTGAATGGCAGTGTTGGCAGTTTAACTGGTGTAGTATTTCTGAAAGAAGGAAGGGAAGCACTCTCACATTCATTTCATTCAAAGACCGCTTTGAGAAGAGGACATATGTTTCCTTAAAGTTATCACTGAGTGTAATAAAACACAGAATTACAGAATGGTTGACTTTGAAAGAGACCTTTGTAGGTCACACAGTCCACCTAGAAATTGTTTTTCAGCAGCATGTCTCTCTGGCTTCTAAATATCTCTAAGAATGGAGAACCCACAACCTCCTGTGTGAATTTTCAGTAAACCTTACAGGAAAAAAGTGTTTCCTGGTGTTCAGAAAGAGCCTCCCATGATTCAATATGTGCCCATTGCCTTGTGTCCTGTTACTGGACACCAGTGGAAAGAGCCTAGCTCTTTGCACCTTCCCTTCAGGTATCTATATTCATTACTAAATCCCCCCTAAGCCTTCTCCAGGCTGAATAGTCTCAGCTCTCAGCCTGTGCTCTTAGCAGCGATGCTTCAGTCCCTTAATCAGCTTTGTGGGCCTTTGTTGGACACTGCAGTCTGTACATATCACTTATATTTAGGAGCCCAGAGCTGGATACATCACTCCAGGTGTGGGCTCATTAGTTCTAAACCTGAAACACAGCACTGTAATAGCTGCTTAAAAGAAATGAACTCTCCCCCATCTAAATCCAGGACAAGTAGATATTGTGCTATGACATCTGGTGGGACATTTGGATGTGGTTTGTGCCAAAAAAATGAACAAATAGTTCAGTGAATATATAGATAAATCAGATGATCCTTAGCAGGCTTTTCTAGAATCACAGAATATGCTGAGTTAGAAGGCACCCATCAGATCAGGGAGTCCAACTCCTGGCCCTGCACAGGACACCCCAAGAGTCACACCACGTGCCTGAGTGCATTATCCAAACTCTTCTTGAACTCTGTCAGGTTTGGTACTGTGACCACTTTCCTGTGCCCAGCCACTGGCTGAAAAGCAGTTCCCTGATATCCAGCCTAAACCTCTGCTGACTCAGCTTTATGCCTTTTCCTCAAGTCCTGTCTCCTCAAGTCATGAGAATGAAAAGATTTGGACTTGGCCTTCTGCTTCCCCTCATGGGGATATTGAAGGCCCCAATGAGGTCTCCCCTTGGTCTTCTTTTCTCCAGGCCAAGCAAGACAAGTGACCTCACATGGCTTCCTCTCCAGTCCCTTCACTGTTCTCACTGCCCTCCTTTAGATGTTCTTTAGCAGTTTCATGTCTTTTTTGTACTGTGGCACCCAGAAGTGCCCCCAGCACTGGAGGTGAGGCCGCCCCAGCCCAGAGCAGAGGGGACAATCCCCTCCTTGCCCGGCTGGCCATGCTGGGCCTGATGTCCCCAGGACACGCTTGGCCCTCCTGGCTGCCAGGGCACTGCTGGCTCAGATTCAGCTTTCCATCCACCAGGACCCCCAAGCCCCTTATGAGAAATATCACGCTGAAATAAAGTCAGTGGCATCTAACCTGCATAGTTTCTCATTCATCCAATACAAAGGGCTTGAAGCAGAGTTGGTGTTATTCAGCAATATATTCTCATGGATTCTGCAAGTTAAAGGAATTGAGAACCATTAGAACTGAATATCCTGAGAGAGAAGGATGTCTGAATTTACAGACTAAAAATGTAAACCAAGGTCTACTAAATGAAGCAGTGAAAAGCAAGATTGCAACCTGATGATAAAGTATGATGAAGAAGTTATTACCTGGTAACTTATATAATGAAATTAACACTGCTTAGAGGTGGCTGTTAATTCATTTTTGGCATTGGGATTTAGAAGCAGAGAGAAATAAAATCAGGTGAGAGAGAATGCTCTTTCAGAGAGGTAAAAATGAAATGATAAAAGATGTAATTGAATTCTGGAATAAATGAAAGTTAGTTTCTTTGGTCCTAAGGGGAAGCTAATACTGTAGCTTTCTTTCCATTCACTTCAATTTATGCATGAGTACAAGTAAGTCTTCTTAGGGCCTTGTAACAACAGTTATTAATTTTTAGAAACTGTTGTGCAGGAAAATTGGAACAAGGGCATATTATTTTCCCTTCCTGGTGATAAAAGTAAATGCAGGAGAAGGCACTCCAAAGATATATGAAATATTTTTTGTGAATTCTGTTCACAATGCAAATTCACTCTAAAGTTGTTTGTGTGTTTTTGCTCCGTCTTTCTATATTGGATCAACTCAGGTTATTGCTTATACAGGGATGTGTGAAAAAGTCTGTCTTTCTTATTTTGCAATGTGTAATAAGTACTGTGGTATTATCCAAATATAGGACTCAAAAATTCACTATCTGTTTTTCTCCCAAAATATATTATCAATATAGATCAAAATATTGTCTAAGTTTAAACTGCAAATACTGCTTTGCCTTGCACATTAGCTGGAGTTCTCTGTTAAAGTCAGTATTCAACCAGTTCTAGGAGGAAAATTGAGCTTTGCAAAAGTTGATTTTCTAAGATCGATATCTATCTGTCCATCTGAGCTCTTTTAAAGTTAATAAAGTGTCAAATTCAAAGACAAAATATTTATATGAGACATAGATAATGATTTTAAATTTCAATAAATTGTCCTTTGGATGTACTGATTTCTTTCTACTGACTTTAATTGGGGCCTAATTAGCTAGCTGAGACTGGACATTCAATGTATGAACCTAATGGTGAATTTTCATGGTTGAAATTGTTTAAGAAAAAAATACAAGCTTTTGTTAAAGAAGGCATTGTAGAAAATAGCTCTTTTCCTTTTGTTTTGATATTCTTAAGTAAAAATTAAGTAAAAATACAGGGGACGAGGGTGTGAGTTTGGTGTTTTTTTGGCCTTGGGGTTTAGTTATGTTACTGGGGTTCAGAATGTCAAAAATATTCAGTTTTTCTTTCTGACAAGCAGTTATTGTGGGACAGTATTGGTAAGGGCTGATGTCATTCAACTGGAAATTAAAGCATTAAAACCCATAATTTGTAATGTAGTTCTGGAAACTTAGGAATTCTGACTAAGGCCTGTTTAACATGTTCTTGAATAATCCATTTATATGACTGAAAAATAATCTTCCTGGAAGTATCTCTTTTGCACATCTGGACTTACTGTAAAGACAGTTTCTTCTCCTCCTTCAAATCTATCCCAAACTTTCACACTTTTTGATTCAGGGCACAATTCCTTGTGCTAATATCTTCTGAGACTTTGAGTTACATGGTAACCCTGAAGAGATTTGATTGATACAATTTAGATGGTGACATCCTGTGCACCACATGCCCCCTGTGTTGCACTAATTTCACTTCAGTATTTTATAAGTGGTCATGCTGGAGTTCCACAAAAGATAAAAGAGCAATTGGTCAGTTATTGATCAGAGATTATCAACATTTTGCAATATATGTCCTAATAGCTCTGTCCACTATAGACAAGTACATGACATTAACATTATGAAAATGTAATTAATTTTTCAGGGATAAAAAGCATGCTGGTAGTCCCTCAATGGACTTTTATTTCAAATGCAATACTTTCCCACAATAAAGACTGCTGTATGAATAGTGCTTTCCAAAGCTTTTGACAATCTCTTTTCATTTTCTCTTCTCTTGTAGCTGATGGATGCACTGACTGGTCTGTGGATTACAAGAAATATCAAGTTCTAGTGGGAGAACCTGTTCGTATAAAATGTGCACTCTTTTATGGATATATTAGAGCTAATTACTCCCTAGCCCAAAGTGCTGGACTTAGTTTGATGTGGTACAAAAGCTCTGGACCTGGAGATTTTGAGGAGCCTATAGCTTTTGATGGAACCAGAATGAGCAAAGAAGAAGACTCCATTTGGTTCAGACCAACAGTGGTACAAGACAGCGGGCTCTATGCATGTGTTATAAGGTACTATATTTCAATATACTGCATTTTAATTGACCAAACATGAAACAAGGCTCTTAACAGTGAGACTTTTGTGCCAAAATAAATTTTTTCTGACCGTGTTCTTTTTTCTTCTCCTGGCATTCCTTTCCCTGAAGGTTTTTATGCCTGACTAGAAATTGTTATTGAATGTCTTGAACATATTAAATTTTCTTTTGTATAAAATTAGTCATTTATAATAAAATCTAAAATTTATAAGGTATTTGGGACTGGATGAATAAGTCATCTGTTCCTTTCTCTTGATTCTGGTTTCACTCATGGAATCACTCTCCTAGAGTAAAAAAAAAAATAATTTTTTTGCACTCAGATTTAATATTATGTAGATTTCATCAAGTGATTTAATTAAATTAACTTTTTTTTTCTGAAAAAAAATTAGCTATTTTGTGTAAAGTAGCTGCATCAAGGAAAACAGGTGAAATTTCAGCATTTCTACATACACTCTCTAGAATTACATCTGGCTTAACCTGATAATAGAAGCTGCATGCCAAATGTCTTCCAAAATTATTTAACCTTCTGATTCATCAAGATTTCTCATTAGAAACTGGACGGGATTCTACTTCTGATTTCTGCAACAGGTTTTTGGCTTCTTTCTGCATCTTTAATATGGTTCATACTGAGATATTTTTCTGCCTTTTACAGTGTTCTTCTCTATCTGGATAACTATAAAAGTGGTCTTGCTACTAATACACAATAGAAAGAGTCAAAAGCAAAGTGCAAAACAACTGAGTGGCTAGAAAAGGAATGCATGATGCAGCTAGTACAATGATGAAAGGAAAATTGGAAATTGTTTCATCAGCAACTGGAAAGGTTTACTGACTGTCACTTTTTAATTTTTTGTATTTTTTTCTTTATTTTCCTTTTTTTTTAACTGGGCTTTGTTTTGGTTGTTTCATTTTGGTTTTTTTTCTTGGCTAGAGGGAGGGGAGAACAGATTGCTGTCTGGTTTGTGTATGCTGAAGGAGATTTTTACTAAATACTGTGTTTATAAAAACATTATTCTATGAGCTCTTTACCTGTGAGACATTTCAAAAGACATTGTTTGTTGAATAGTATATTCAGCATGGTTTTTCTAATGATAACAGCTCTCTTTAAAAAAACCACTAAAACCTATAAATTAAGCTCCTTAAGGAGAATTTTTAGTTATATTTGGATTAATATTTTCTGATATGTGTGTAACAGTAGCCATGAAAATGAAGTTTTGTCAATTATTCCATAATGCTATTTAAAATGCCATAATTAATCTCCTCTGTTTATATAAAGAAAACCTTAGTTATCTCATGTTGCAATTTCCAGCAAGTATAGATAAATGCTGCATTTAGCTACTCAGACATGCCTTATGTTTATCATCTTAACTTGTATTCATGGCATTTTTTACATGGATTTTTATTTAATCCAGAGGTAGGTAGGACCATGTTCTAATCTGCTTTAAAGTAGTGTGGTGGTTTGCTACCAGCCAGAAATTGCACCTGCAAATAAACCACTCCTCTTCCCACCTCACCCTTTGTCACGAGAGGAACAAGGGCAGAGAATATGGGTTGAGATGACAATTTACTGAAAGCATGCAGCAGTGGAGTAAGAAAAGCACAGTTATAGCAGCAATATTCATAACAAATAAAAGGTGTTTTACACTCAGGAGGTGTTCATCACCTTGACCTAGTCCTGCCTGGCCACCAGGACAAAGACAAGATGTTGGTTCTACTTTAGGTTGCACCATGCGGCTTTCCCCACACAAAGATCAGATGTCAGCTGTTCCTGCTCCCAGCACCATGTGCCTTTCCCCACACAGAGACAGGTTGGTGGGAGCTTCCCACCACCCCTAAGTCCAAGACAATGGAAAATGATGGACAAAGCTCTGAAAGCTGAATTGTTCATGTTGCACTGCCCCTCTGTTTCACTGGGCTCTTCCCAGCTTGGTTTCTCCACTGTTTTGTTCCCTGCAGCTGCTTCCCACACCAGCACTGCCACTTTTGACCACTCCACCCCACTGGGGTGCAGGCTGCATTCACTGCTGGTCAGAACCACAGCCTGTGCCACACCTGAGGAGTGGGAAGGGGATGGGTGATGATGGTAGAGGATGGGTTCAATCCTAGACACCTCCCTGAGATGAAGAGAAGAATGTCACATCACAGGGTTGCTTGTTATTTATCGTATAGGGACAGTGAATATAGCTGGATAAGCTGTACTAAGAATGAATTCAAGAATATTCAAGTACAGCTCTCAGAAATTATGTATATGCTACACACATCTGGTATAATAGTAAATAATAAGTAGTTTCTGTCAAAAATTTTACATTTAAAGTTTCAAAAATAGCTGAAATACTGTTCCTATCAAGAGAACACTTCCTTCATGTATTCTTTTTTTTTTTTTCCCTGCCTGAAAACATCAATTACAATGTTTCTAGTAGTTGCCCAACAAAATTTCAGCATAGGTCAGGGAAACTGGAATTATGTAGTTAGGCCTCAGTGAAGATTTATGTGATTTAGAATCATAGAATCGTAGTATCATTTGGGTTGGAAAAGATCTCCAAGATCATGGAGTCCAACATTTTGACAAGGAGAATCACATCAACTAAAACATTTCATTATGTGACATATCCAGTTGTTTCTTGAACGCTTCCAGGGATGGTGACTCTACTTCCTGGGCAGTCCATTCCAGTGCTTACCTACTCCTTCAATGAAGAAATTATTCCTGATGTCCAACCTGAACTTCCCCTCATGCAGCTTGAGGCCATTTCCTCTTGTCCTGTTGCTGATGGCCTAGGAGGAAAGGCCAACCCCCACCTGGCCACAGCATATTTTAGGATAGTTTTAGAGAGTAAGATCTCCCCTGAGCCTCCTCTCCTTTAGATTAAACAATCCCAGTTCACTCTGTGATTCCTCATATGATTCACTTTCTAGACCTTTCACCAGCTCCACAACCTTCCCTGGACGTGCTCCAGCCCCTTAATGTCTTTTCTTGCAGTGAGGGGCTCAAACCTGGACACAGGATTTGAGGTGTGGCCTCACCTTTTCTGAGTACAGGGGAACAATCACTGCTGGCCACACTACTGTCGATACAGGTCAGAATACCACTTGCTTTCTTGGTCGCCTGGGCTGTTGACTGGAACCCCAAGATCCTTTCCTGCTGGGCTGTGCTTGAGCCACTCTTTCCCCACCCTGTAGCACAGGGCTGTGGTGACCAAAGTGCAGGACCCATCACTTCACCTTTTTTAACCTCATGCAACTTTCCACAGCCCATGGATCCAGCCTGTCCCAAACTCTGCAGAACCTTTCAGCTGTACCATCCAGCAGATCAACATTCCTGCCCAACTCACTGTCTTCTGCAAAACTACTGAGGGTGCTCTCATTTCCCTCTTCTAAACCATCAATAAAAATATTAGCAGAACTGGTTCCAGTAGTGAACAATGGGGAACTCCACCAGTGATGGCCAGCAAGTGGATGTAGCACCCTTCAGCACAACTCTCAGGATCCGGTCACCCAGACATGATTTATATTTATGGACATGTTTAATATTTATGAACATTAATTGTTTTGTTCAGCTCTAACATTTAGTGGATAAAAATGCATATGAACAAGTCTCATTCAGAAACATGAGCGTCTATAAAGAATTCTTAGGGTACAGACAAATAAAGATAACATAGAAGTTTAAATAAAGCATTACAAATTATATTATAGATGAAAAATCTTTAACATACTTAAATTCATTAGGTACTTATTAGCCATAAAAATGCTACCCATAATTAATTTAGTGATATTCAGCTTTGAAGATTTAAATTCAGATGACAGCAAGGTTCAAATAGGGAATAACAGCATTTATGGAGATTGTTCAAATCTATTTTCATCCCCAGCTGGTAAAAAATCCTGAGCATTTGCATCAGTATCCTTAACTATTAGTAACATAGTTATTTTCCATTAGTAACACACAGTACAGCATTTTAGACAAAGAGGTGAAGACTGAAATAGTGTGAAGTGGACAGAATTTTCAGAGGAAGGAAAGGAATGAAAGGAAGGAAAAGAATGAATGAAAGGAAGGAATGAATGAAAGGAAGGAAAGGAATGAAGGAAAGGAAGGAAAGGAAGGCAAGGAAGGCAAGGAAGGCAAGGAAGGCAGGAAAGAAGGCAGGAAGGAAGGCAAGAAGTTACGCAGGAAAGCAGGAAGGAAAGAAGGCAGGAAGGCAGGAAGGCAGGAAGGAAGGCAGGAAGGAAGGCAGGAAGGAAGGAAGGAAGGAAGGAAGGAAGGAAGGAAGGAAGGAATTTTTCATGAAGCTGGTAGAAGCATCATTTCTTCATCATCTTGAATAATGTAAAACATGTTTAAAATGGGAATTGCTGTTTCTGGGTACCAAACATTTTTGAAGTCTGTCTTACCTGAGATGGACCTTTTGTCCTGGCTATATATGCTTATAAATATTTTTATTTCTTTATAGAGTTTTAAAAAATTATCATCCTATGAAAAGGATAAGCATTCATATAACAACTACATATCAAATCTCAAAAAAAAAAACAAAACAAAACTAACAAAAACCCCTCCAAAGCAACAACAACAATAAAACACACAAAAAATAAAGAAAAGCACCAAAAAGAGGAGAAAGTATCTGAAAATAAAGCCATAAACACGGTGTTCCCTATATCTCCATGAGTTCTTTGGTTATATTTATGTGTATTACTGACAAAGCAATCTGAAAATGGATAAGAAAAATAAGCTTTCTCAAAGGAATACCAAAGGAGCGAGAAATTCCTCAGAAAGAAGGAAGTTTCAGAAGATCCTGTTATTCTATGAATTTGTTCAAGACAGTATCACCACTCATTGTCCCGGGTAACAAGGGGTAGGACAACAGGACAGTATCACCACTCATTGTCCCGGGTAACAAGGGGTAGGACAACAGGACACAGCTGCCCAGTGGGAACTGTGGACATATTACATTAGTAGTTGGACTCAAGCATCTTAGAGGTCTTTTCCAACCT